ACAGTCTTATGTACACTTCCACAACTCTTACCCTGCGTATGCAAATCTTTTTGACGTCATTCTACCTTCATAAAAAACAAAGTAATTGGCAATACTGACAAAACTAAATTGTAAGTTATTCAGTATTAGCTTGTTTATTAAACTTTTGTATACAAGTAAAATCATACTGGCAACCATGCTGTTTTTCCCAAATATCCTAGGAAACGCAGTTCTGCTTAAATGTGCATTTAATACATTAAATACCAAGTATTACACTTAATTTGTTTGTTGAATATGTTTCATAAAAATTTGTTGTGCTCATGCTGTTTCATTACCAAGAGGTGTCTGTTGTATTCATTGAAATTTTTGGTATATGCATTTATTTGGCACTATGTTTTTTTATCTTTCATATATATAATAATATAATTTTGTTTTGATAAACATGAATTATAAGACCTAGATTATACAATAGATATATAAATAGGTTTCTCAATTTAATTTTACAAATTGCTATTGCAGTGTTTAAAATAAACAAAAATATTATTAATAAAAAAAATTAGGCTACAAAATAAAAACATGCATGCATCTTGAACGACCAATAAGCATCTCTAAATAGGCCTTCATATCAAAACATCAAATGCCAGCGTCCTGCCCTGACAATCATGTCTATTCTTTCTTTATTTAACGTGTCTTTGTTTGTCTTATATCTGAGCACATGGCTTTGTCTTTGTTTATGTTGGCCATGTGCTCCTCTTGTTTAGTCCTTGTCTAGTCCTCATTTACTTGATTGCGCTCACCTGATCCTCATGTGCTCTAGGCCCTTTATATTGTGCTCCTTACCCTCATTTCTCTGCTGGTTTGTTGTGTGTATCCTTTGTGTGTGAGCATTGCTTGTCTTTGGAGCATTACCTGTGATTTAAGTTTGTTTAGCTTTACTGTGCTTAATAAGCCTACTTGATCAGTGTTATATTTTAGTTGGTCTTGCCAGATTAGTCTTGTGTTTAGTCTTTTTGACTTTTCTAGTTTTCACTTTTACTCTAGTCAAGTTGAACTTTTGTTCTAGTTTTCTCAAACCTTATTTTTGGCTTCTGGATTTTGCCTTGTTTTTTGTTTGTAGTTCCAGTGTTTTTTTGTTTAAGTTTCCAAATAAATTCGATCTATATTTTGTTTTCTCTAGTCATAGTGCTGAGTCCGATTTTATTTTGGGTTTGTCTTTTCTTGTTGCTCTCTCTTGTTGTCTTTGTCTTGTGTTTGTATTTATCCCGCATCCTGTTCCTCCCTGGCCGCTGTTCTAAGGAGTGAGCAGTCCGACTGGTGCAGTTTCAGTTGCAGCTCTTACTATCAAGCCACTGGTTCTTCGAGCTGCTACTGGATCTCCTGTGTTGTCATTGTCTGGTGCTGCTCCATCTCCTCCACTCTATAGCCTGACTTTGCCCAGGGCTGATCTCAGCTGTCGTCTTTTTCTCCTATTGACTGCCCTGTCCTACTGTTAAGATTATCCTCAATCACCATCCTGATTGTTTCTTGTCTAGTCAAATATCAATCCCGTAATCATTCTGCATCTGGGGCTTTCTCTAGTAAACTGCTGTGACAGCCTTGATGTCTGCTAAATGAATAAATGTAAATGTTTTATCTATTTTTTCCCTCCTTTTTGGAGCTTGACTATGATCTAGAGTTTTGGAATGACTTGAGTGTGAGCAAATAATTTTTTTTTTTTTTTTTTGCTTGCATGTGTACAGACTGATGTTGTTCCTTTTCTTTAGAAAGCAATTATTCCAGACATCAGATTAAATAAATTTAATGGCGCTGAAGCACTGAAGTTTCACATCTTGGACCACAAAATGACTATATGCAAATTCTCCATTTGCTCCATGTACTAAAGTGAAGTGTGTCTGGGGCACAGAAGGAGAAATTCATATTTTTAATCATGATCATCTCATCAGCTCTACTACTGCTGGCAGCAACTGCATCCTGTGAGCTTCATTGATGCTTTATTTAAACTCATAAACTAAATCAATGAAATAAGCTTCATAACTGAAGTTGAGGCATAACTAATACTAACACGTTCTTATTTTCTCATTGTTATTTTCAGGTGGTGTTTTCTGTGTTGAGCTCAATCAGCCTCCATCTTTGGTTGCGAAACCTCAAGAATCATTCTCCATCTCCTGCAGGATTTCAGTATCAAGCTATTGCATTCACTGGATCCATCAACCCACTGGAAAAGCACTGGAATGGCTCGGATATCTTTGTAGTGATGGTAGAACCAACATTAAAGATTCTGTGAAAAACAAGATCAGTTTCACCCAGGACACATCCAAAAACACAGTGTTTCTACAGGGAAATAATTTTCAGACTGAGGACTCTGCTGTGTATTACTGTGCGATACAGTCACAGTGACTAAACAAGCCACAGCTCTGTACAAAAACCTGAACACATGAATCAGAGATACGTAATACCAGGGGCATTTTTATCCTTTCATCAGCACTCAACACCAGCCCCACTCCTACTCTTTTTTTTTTTCTTTTAAATGATTTTTTTCACATGATTATCACACATAATGCTCTGATTGTAATATTATCATAGAAAATGATTCTCAGGTCAGCATACAGTAATCTCCATTAACACAAGGATTTATTGATCCATTCACACTTTTCATCCAGCTGAAAATGCTTTAAAAATATTAAACAGTTTATTAAAATGTATGAAATATGTTCTCATAAATGCCACATATTCAAATTTATTGTCACAATTTTAAAGTTACATATTAATTTATTTATGTACAAATATCGAGGGATGTGCCGAACAAGTAGGGTTGCCAACTTCAGAAAAGGAAAATAATAGAAATATTTTCTAACAATATCACTTTTTATCCATTTAACATATCCTTGCTGAATAAAAGTATTCTAAAAGTTTATTTAAAAAAAAAAAAAAGAAATTTACTGACCCCAAACTTTTTTTTTTGAATAGTTGTGTATATTTAAAACAATTTTTATTTTGAATAAATACTGTTATTTTTAACCTTTCATTTATCAAAGAATCCTGAAAAAATATCACAGGTCCCAACAAATATTAAGCAACACAACTGTTTCCAACATTGATTATAAATCAGCATATTAGAATGATTTCTGA